ACATGACCCACGGCAAGACTGTTTCCTGACAGCTTTTAATTTGATAGATGCAGAAAACCTATTCTGGAAGAGTCCCATTCTTTCTTGTCTACATCTACAGGGCTAAGTGAACTAGAGAAACGGTGGAGAGAGAGATGAAAGAGGATTAAGTATAGAAAAACAATACATTTTGTTGTCTGTCAAAATGTCTATATTTTTTTTTTCTCCTTGTTCTAAGAGCCCCAGCACCAAAACCAAAACCCTTGGACAAAGAAGCAGTCTGGCAACTGTTGCTGCATGCAGATAGAAGAGATTATGAGAAAATCTGTATGAAATATGGGATTGTTGACTTCCGTGGGATGCTGAGGAAGCTGCAGGAGCTAAGGAAGGACAGAGAGAGTGAACAAGAAGAGGTAAAATAAACTGAAATCACTGCAGCACTGATTTTTAACACACTGCAGAGTCCTGTATTTCCTCGGTAGCTTTTGAAAACAGACTAAACCTTCCTAAAATGCTTTGTAGATGAAAATTGTATTATATGACAGAGAGTGATTTATGACAAAGTTTTAAAGAAATCCTACTTCTATGGTTATGCAGGTGAAAATGCTATTGACTTTTTTGAAGTTCACTTCTTAAAATTTAGGAGATGCTGACTGTAGGGTAATGCTTTTATCATTGGCTAAAATCTGTATCCACATGGCTAAAATCTGTATTTAGTTCCCTCTGATGAGAATTTGGACCCCAAACTGAAAATCTGTATAACTGAGAGTCAAAATTGTCCTTCACATACAGGGGCATGTAGAAACCTGGATGAATAATGGTTGCCCAGTGTGTGAATGACCAGGAGGCAGCACGTAAAATATAATTTGCCTACAGGAAGAAACTGTGGAAACTTACAGGTCCTTCCATACCCATGAAGTTAGAGTTAGCTCTTTTTTTATGCAGATAAAAAGTAGATTTCACATTAGTACAACAGCTTAAGAACTTCTGGCTTGGCAGCTTTATCATTTATTAGGTTCCTGTGTCTTTTTTTGCAGCTAATAGACAGCATCAAAAACTTTCAACACATCAAAGTCAACAAGGATGGAAAAGCCACGTTCAGTCTGGAGATGAACCTGAAAAACAGTAACAGCAAAGTTTCTCTGCTTAAGGTGAGGGGGCGAGATGACTTGGCCATGTCATAGCAGACACTGAAGTCTTCTACGTAAAATGTTTGATCTGCTGGGCAGTGGCTGAGGGCAAATAAGCTTAAAATTGTCTACACATTGCTGAATCCTTGATTGGTTAAAGAGAAGTGTTGGTGTGGGAGTCCAGGGAGTCTTTGGTGGTGAATGTCACCTGGGATTTGTAGATCCAAGTACAGGGGAAACAGGAAATTACTGACATCCCTTTGACTTAATGAGCTCTTCTGGTAAGAGGAAATTCTAACAGTGGCTTTCAGGCTGCAGAAATTCTGCAGTCTCCTATAAGAAAAACAAACTGATTGTATTCACTTTCTTGAGTGTGTTATTTCACTGTAATGAATTTCTGTGAAAGAAGATCTCAAGGAAGTAAAACATCCCATCTAGTTCTGTTATTATTCTGCTGTGATCTCCAGGGGGGTAACAGAGCCCTGGGACAGGCTGCCCAGGGAGGGCGTGGAGTTTCCTTCTCTGGAGACATTCAAAACCCACCTGGACGCCTTCCTGTGTGATCTCATTTAGGTTCCTGCTCTGGCAGGGGGGTTGGACTGGATGATCTTTCGAGGTCCCTTCCAATCCCTGACATTCTGTGATTCTGTGTGATCTGTAATCAGTACTGTAGGTGTTTTTCTAGAAGATAAATTTCAAACTGTGGTTAGTAGCTTCATTACAGGGAAACAGGAATTCATTAAAGAGGAGGTCAGACTAACTCTGTGAACTCCTGAATCAAATGCATGGTATTCATGGTAGCCACAACACAGAGAAGGTAACCCAAGCATGTTACAGATAGGAAAGTGATGAACTCACCTGCTTATCCATCTATGAGGATGCTAAAACCTAAGCAAAGAACCTCCCTTGTCTTTGAAGTTACAGTAACTGTGTGTTAGTTAAGCTTCAATATCTTACATGAGCTGGCAAAGTACTATTCTTCTGCCCAGTTTGAGAGTCTGATGCTCTGTTCTATGCAGCACTGACCACACATAGTATTGTCTGTGTGTGACATAGGCAATGAGCCCTGTCCACTCCCAGCTGTCCTTTGTAAGTAGCAATAGACTGTAGATCACTTATATTCATAAGGTGATTTTAGCAAAAATTTGGCCTGATTTCTTTGAAATGCCTCGCACTAGTTGTGCATTGCTCTTCAGAATATATTCTTTCTCTTCCTAGGATGGTGAGAGGCTCAGATATGGAACGGGGGATGAATATAGAAAGCACTGCCTGAGACGAATTGGAAGGAAGTATAATTTCATTATCAACGATGTGCAACCAGAAGATGCAGGCGTGTATGAAGTCAGAGTGGAGGATGTACCTGTTTTCTCAACCGAACTGGACCCCGAATGTAAGGAACTGAGTTAGATGTATGTGATGTGCAACTGTAACAATCAATTCTTTTTTGCTGGAAAATTTTATCGAGGGCCATATGCAAAGCTCAGCAGTAAAACCTGGAAACTACATAAGGTTAGAACCAGTTAGGACCAGTTAGAACAAGTCCAGAGAAGGGCCACCAGGATGATCCGAGGGCTGGAGCAGCTCTCCTATGAAGACAGACTGAAAGAGTTGGGGCTGTTCAGCCTGAAAAAGAGAAGGCTCCGGGGAGATCTTATAGCAACCTTCCAATACCTGAAGGGGGCCTACAAGAAAGCTGGGGAGGGACTTTTCATAAGGGCAACTAATGACAAGACAAGGGGAAATGGGTTTAAACTGAAAGAGGGGAGGTTTAGATTAGATATTAGGAAGAAGTTCTTCACTGTGAGGGTGGTGACACAGTGTCCCAGGTTGTCCAGAGAAGCTGTGGCTGCTCCTCCCTGGAAGTGTTCAAGGCCAGGTTGGATGAGGCTTTGAGCAACCTGGTCTAGTGGAAGGTGTCCCTGCTGAAGGTGGGGGGATTGGAACTAGATGATCTTTGAGGTCCCTTCCAATCCAAACCATTCTATGATTCTATGATTAAGGTTCTTTATATGTTGCCAAATAAAGGCTCCTTATATGACACAGGCAAAAAAGAGCAGGAGGGTGATTATGTGATATGACTGTTGTATTTGTAGTCCAAAGGACTAGGTCCAAGTACCAGTTTGGCTCTTGACTTTTGGAAAACAGTGAGAAAATTCCTGCACTTAACCCATGCTATAGTTTCCTTTTGCAAGCTCAGCATAATAACTACCAACTCAATACAAATATCATGCTGCTAAAATACATTCAAGACTACAAATTATCAGCATGTCACAGTGATGTGTGGTATAAATGTCTCCGAAGATAATAAAGACAGAAATCTACTTTTCTGCTTTTCTATCCTGTAGAATTTGGCACAGGAGCACATCTCAGTTTTTCCTTTTTCTCCTTAAACCGATGCTCACAGGCATGGCAAGTTCCTGTTTTTCTTTCTTCCTTCCTTCATATGCAAAAAGTTTTTCTTGGAAGACAGAAATAGTTCTGTTTCCTTTCTATAGCTTTTGATTTTTTTTCCATTGCAGCCATTCCTGTGAGATTTGAGCAGCCTCTCAGTGATCTAAGTTGCCCTGAGGAAGAAAATGCTGTCTTTGAGTGTGTCCTACGCACACCCTGCTACGATGCGGTGTGGCTACACAAAACCCACCTCCTCGAGGCAAGTGAGAAGCACCAGATCTCCGTAACACCTGATGGCCTGACCCACCAGCTGACTATCAAAAACGTTGTGCCCTCTGACAGTGGCATGTACACGCTGGACACAGGACTCTGCTCCTCAAATGCCTGGCTTATTGTGGAGTGTAAGTGACATTGTATTCTTCCCACGGTGTTGGCTTGAGGTGTGTTAACAAAATAATATTCCTCTCACTGCCTGATTGCAATCATTGAGATGATTCTGTGCTGAGAAATGAATTGCAGAGCCTCTAGTTCCTAAATTATATTTGGAAAAAATGAAGGTCTGGTTAGACTCTCTTTCCTCTTCAGATGAGACAATTTTTTCCCGTTTTATTAGACCTGACAAATCCTATTGGCTTATTTACTCCACAGCTGCTATGAAGTAGTATGTTCTCCATCAGTTATCAAAAAATACTCGATATCTCAACATGTGTTTGTGATGAAGCTGTCACTGTGTGAACGCAGTACACCACGCAGGGGATCAAGGAGCTTTCAATACTATCAATACTATTCAATACTGTCTTGCTAGATAGTAATTTTCTTTCCAAATTAGAGGTTAAACATGTTAGAAGAAGCTCAGAGGCAGCTGGGAAGATGGGAAACACTCCTTTCAATGCACGCAGGTTAATAGCTGGCTCATATGGTTTTGCTTCTGAAAGGTAGTTGCTTTGGTTTCTGTTGAGGTCCTGCTGCAGCAAAAAGTGGTCTCTCTCAAAGAGGCTTTTTGATGACGTTTCAGAAGCAAGTGCAGGTTGAGGATGACACACAAAGAAACTGCCCACTGAGTTCATTGAGGTGTTAACGCTCTACAGAATGACATCTAACCTGGAAATCAAAACAGTGTGTGACCTGGAAGCTCCACTGTTTATCTCAGAAAAACCTGAATTTTGGATTAATACAAAGCTGCTCACAGAAGTGGAATCTTTAGTCTTTGGGTTGGCCATCTCTGAGATGGCAGGATGCCAAATGTGCAAGCTGCCTCAGTAGCAGAGAGATTCTAATTCAAGAGAGGGAACTGACGGCTACTCTGTGCGTGGGATATTCTGTAGCTCCTCCAGGGATGGAGGGGGAAGGCAGAAGGGCCTAATGAGTCCCAAATACAATCCAATCCCCTCTAAATTAGACCCATCAGGCTGGAAATGTGCCTTTTCTGCCCCCCTTTTTTTTTGTTTTGCTTGTTTGTTTTTGGTTTGTTTGGGTTTTTTAATAAGCATGTTTCTGCTAAAAAGAATTGTCTTTTTAACTGAGAAGTGTAAAATTATGTCTGAATGTGACACTGAAAAAATTCAGGATTTGAACAGAATTTAAATTTACTTAAATATATTATGTTTCTGTGTCCTAGAATGAAATGATAACAAATGCTGACACATTTGCTTTGGTTGTTGATACAATTCATGACCTATTGATTTTCTGTTCTTTTTTTTTTTTCTCTCTTTTCCTGCAAATTATCTCCTCCAATCAAACAACGCATCTTCACTACAGATGCCAAAGGAAAGAGGAGACAGGGTGAAGGAGGTGAGAGAGAGAAACCTGAGGGGATGAAAGAAACATTACCAGATACGGAAAGGGCTAAGAAACTTCGACGCAGAGAATATGTTGGTGATGAAGATCATCTTATGGACACTGATGTGCAAAAAGATGGCTGGTACAGAAATGGTCAAGGCAGGAGTCAAGGCCAATCCGTTGATGCTGATGGAAGCCATAGATTTTTGGGAAAAGAGGGGCTACGCAAAGTCCACAAAAATGAAAGGACAGGGTTTGGGCAGTTTTCTGGAGCAGACCTAGATGGAGACTCAATGACAGAAGATGGTAGTAGTTTTGGATTAAAAGGTTTAGGAGGCAAAAGTAGATTAAGGCCTGTCCGTGGCAAGGATTCTATGACAGGCAGAGCAGATGCTGGTGATGAGTCAGGAGGAGCAGGTGAATGGTATTCTGTGGATGGCAGAGATGATGGTGTGCTGGATACTGTTAACGTTGACATGGGTGATGGAGAAGGTGTGGGCTCTTGGCATGACCAAGATGGTAAATTAGGTGATATTAATTACAGAGCTGGCTTTGGGGGTGTTGGGAGATTAGGTGCTACTGATGGAAGTTCTGTGTTAGATGGACTCGATCCTGATTCATCCAGAGTGGGAGATGGTAAGGGTGGCAAAGGTGATCTGTTCAGTTTTGACTAGTCCTGGAACTGGAGCTAGAAAGAATGTTGCAGATACTGAGATTGCAGGAGGAATGAGGTCCCCATATAGCAAGGATGGTCTGTCAGCTGTAGTTGATATGAATGGAGCGAGTATGAACAGAGAAGGACAAAAAGGGACTCCTTACATTGAGGAGGGCATGACCCTGCGTGCTAGTGCTCATTTAACTCAGGCAGGAAGGTCTGGCTTGCTGTATGGCCCAGGTGGTTTTCCGGCTGGAGATGGGGCTATGTCTGGTGCAGGTGGCAGTTCTATAGGGGAAATGGAGGTTTTGTATGGAAAGGATGGTTGCCCAGTTGGAGCAGGTGTTGCTGGTGCTGGTGTAGCTGGTGCAGGAGGAGTTGGATCTCCATATGGAAAGGATGGTCTCCCAGCTGGGACTGGTGTTGCTGGTGCTGGTGTAGCTGGTGCAGGAGGAGTTGGGTACCCGTATGGAAAGGATGGCTTTGCAGCTGGATCAGGCTTTGGTGGTGCTGGAGTAGCTGGTGCAGGGGCATTTGGGACTCCCTATGGAAAGGATGGTCTCCCAGCTGGGACTGGTGTTGCTGGTGCTGGTGTAGGGGGAGCTGGGTCTCCCTATGGAAAGGATGGTCTCCCAGCTGGGGCTGGTGTTGCTGGTGCTGGTGTAGCTGGTACAGGGGCATTTGGGGCTTCTTATGGAAAGGAAGGTATCCCAGCTGGAGGAGGAGTTGGTGGTGCTGG